CCCCACAACCCCTGACACTGAGTGCACGGCCTTCATCCAGCGGTGGAGTGGCCACGGGCAGTTGCGGAGCATCTGAGCCGTTTGATGTGAAATATTGAGCGGGGTATTTGGTGAGTTACGGTCACGTTAAATTTCGATTTAAAGCTTTCGTGACTGCAGGGATTCATCTTCTTGGTTCTTTCGGAAAAGTCACGTAGAATGTAAATAATAAAATAATAAAAATAAAACATAATAAAATAATTCTCACGACAGAGTCTGTCTACTCGACAAACCTGCTCTCCACCTGAGGACGGCTGCTTGCGTTGTGGCCGAAACGTCGTGAGAATTATTGTATCATGTGTTATTTTTATTATTTTATTATTTCCATTCTACGTGACTTTACCGAAAGAACCAAGAAGATACGGTCACGTTATTACAGCGTTTCCCTTCCGCGATTCAACGATAACGGCAGAGCCACAAAGCAGATTTTTGTTCGCAATGTGGTGCCGAAATAATGTCTCTGCCCTCAAGCGAGGCCTTCATCCAGCAGTGGACATCACCCGTCTGACGCGCGCCGCTGACCGGGGAGTGACCGGGTGGGGAATCGAACCTTGAGCCACCTCACGCGAGGAGCAGTGCGGACGCGACCCGTGGGCCACAACCCCTGACCCCGTAGTCGACCCCAAGCGAAAAAAATCCCACTCCGTCATCATCTGCCGTGTCGCGTGGAGCGGGCCTGTAAGCAGCTGTCTGTCGTGCCTCGAAATGTGCGGGAAGCCGCCCAACCTCAGATTTAGCCCGCGAGCTAAGAAGCGTCACAACGCGAACGCGATGATGCTCTCCCCCCGCCCGCCCGCGTGCGGCCAAGGGACGAATCGCACAAATCTCACAAGCGAAGTGGAAGTTGAGCCCGGCGGAGTGCTTGGATGGGTGACCTAAGCCAGGATTTTGCCAGGTGTTTTAGGAGTGGGGGGGCTGCGGGAGTGCGGCCAGGAGGTGGCAGGGCTGGGTGGCAAACATCTCTTCGTGGGTTCGTGTGGTGGGCTCCCAGATTAATCCCACGTGAAGCCAGTCGCTCATCGGTGGAATCGGTGAAACAGCCCAATGCAGGACACTGCGTGAAATTAGTGTTGGCACTCGCTGTGGCTTTCCCGGGTCAGTAATTGTCACTGTGGTATATTCTGAAAGTGTCAGGGCCAAAGGCGTTTAGTGAGCACCAGAGGTTGTAATGGGTCATGTGTAAGGAGGTTGTGTGGCTAGAACCATGCCCAGCACGGCCGCCTTTGTCTCCCCAGTGCTGTAGTTTACCCACAGCATCAAGCACTCATTCAAGGCTGAGTTATCACAAGCCACTGTAAATCAAATTCAGGTCGCTGGGTTTGTAGTGCAGTGCCTAACCGCTCTGCCGCACTGTGACACCAAGTGGCACAAAATATATAGCAAAGTTCTGTTAGTGAGCACCTATTAAGGTCAGCGCAGGACATTAGGTGGTGGGTGGCCAGCACCATGTCCGGCCACCTTTGTCTCTCCAACGTTGATGTTTTAGGCACTACATCAGGTACTCATTTAATCCTGATTTGACCTAGAGGAGGCCCAGTATCAGTTCAAATATTCGCCAGCCATTGGTCGTGAACGGGAATCGAACTGCGGTCGCCCGGTTCGTAGCGCAGTTCCCTAACCACTACATGACGTAGCACTATATACACACAGAAATACAAAACAAAGACCCCCCGTATAGCCTCAACAGACTGTTAATGCAAGTGCTGTTCGCGAGCACCTATGAAGGCCGGCACGGCACACCAGGGGGTGTGCGGCCAGCACCAGGCCCACCTGGCCGCCTTTGTCTCCCCCCCGTGGCGATGTTCACTACACACCGCACCAGGTACTCAGTTGAGGCTGAGTCAAACTAGGGGATGCCCAGGACCGCTTCGGATAATCGTCACTGGCGTTGGCGGTGAGCAGGAATTTAACTTGGGCGGCCGAGTTTGTAGTACGGTGCCCTAACCACTCTCCCACCGCTCCTCACACACGCATGCACGGGTATTCACTGTGTGTGCCCTCTATTTATATGTGTGTGTGTGTGGGGTGTTGGGTTATTCTCGTCTCTTTTCGTTGTCATCTCGAAGCGCGGTGCATTTTTGCTATTTCTTTCGGGTGTCGTAGTTTGGGCTCAAAGAGCCGTTGGCGTTTCCGCTGATGTTTATAGATGGGGAGTCCCGGTAGGCGCCTCATATAGTCGTGGTGGCGGTCGTGGTGGTGGCGGAAGTGATGGTGGTATAGTGGTGGTGATGCCGATGATGGCGGGTGTACCTGGTGCGGTGCGTAAACCTCGCTACGAGGGAGACAAAGGCGGCCGGGCGTGTTGTTGGCCACCCACCCCCTCGTGTGCTGTTCTGGCCTTCATAGGCGCTCGCGAACAGCACTTGCTCCTGCAGCCTGTTACAGGCTATACCGGGGGATCTTTGTCTTTGATGCTGCTGATGATGATGGTGGTGGTGCGAATCATTTTAGTGGTAGTGGTGCTGATGGTTGTCGTATTGATGATGATGATGGTGGTGATGACGGCGATGGTCGTCACGGTGATGGCGCTTAGTAATTGTAGTGGTGGACACGAGGCTTGCGGTGACGGTGGTGGTGTCAGTGCTGGTGGTAGTCGTGGTGGTGGTGATGGTAGTCGTGGTGGTGGTGATGGTAGTCGTGGTGGTGGTGGTAGTCGTGGTGGTGGTGCTGGTGTTAGTCGTGGTGGTGATGATGATAGTCGTGGTGGTGGTGATAGTCGTGGTGGTGATGGTAGTCGTGGTGGTGGTGTCAGTGCTGGTGGTAGTCGTGGTGGTGGTGATGATGGTAGTCGTGGTGGTGGTGATAGTCGTGGTGGTGGTGGTAGTCGTGGTGGTGGTGTCAGTGCTGGTGGTAGTCGTGGTGGTGGTGATGATGTAGTCGTGGTGGTGGTGATAGTCGTGGTGGTGGTGGTAGTCGTGGTGGTGTAGGTGATGGTAGTCGTGGTGGTGGGGGTGATGGTAGTTGTGGTGGTGGTAGTAGTGGTACTGACGGTGGTGGTGTCAGTGCTGGTGCTAGTCGTGGTGGTGGTAGTCGTGGTGATGGTAGTTGTGGTGGTGGTGGTAGTCGTGGTACTGACGGTGGTGGTGACAGTGGTGGTGGTCGTTGTGGTGGTGGTGTCAGTGCTGGTGGTAGTCGTGGTGGTGGTGGTGGTAGTCGTGGGGGTGGTGTCAGTGCTGGTGGTAGTCGTGGTGATGGTAGTTGTGGTGGTGGTGGTGGAAGTCGTGGTACTGACAACGGTGGCAATTGCTGGTGGCGATGCTGTTTGGTCGTGGGCGATGATGTTGGCAGTGGCCGTGCTCGCTGCTGCTTGGCGGGCGCTTGGTAACTCACGCGAAGCGTTTGTTACTCGTCGTCGGTCAAAAGCGGAGGGGGGTTGAACAAACTCGTTTGGGTGATGCGAGAATGCTCCTGTTTGTGCAGGGCATTCGCTCAAGTGGCCGGATTTTGAAAGCACAAACTTTTGCGTGTGGCCTCGTGGCTACTGGCAAGTGCCGACTTCTTCTCGTTTTGTCGTCACCGCGTCCCACCTACGCAACATTTTTGCGCTAAGTGCCCAGGTAGTGCCAACAAAAGCCGAATCGTCGAGACTTGTATTTTTGGTCGGCGATGAGCAGTCGGTGGCTTAAATTTGTTTTTTTTAATTGTTATACCAATGGTTTAAATCTAGAATTGAAGCTTTCATGACTTCAGGAATTACTATACTCATGGGTTCTTTCGGTAAAGTCACGTATGTAGAAATACAATTGATTTTATTTTATGAAATTTATTTTATTTTATGTCTACATACGTGACTTTACCGATGGTTTTCTTATGAGATTACATTCATCTCACTGTGTTCTCTGGCCTTTAAGATGCTGCGGAATGTAAGTTGCACCCAAAACCTTTGCTGGTGTCAATGAAGTTGTATAAATCACACACACAGCCACCAGATTATCATGTGCAGCGACAACTATTGCTCTTAGAAATCCCATCCGGGGAATACAGCATTAAATCAAAACCCACGCCTGGCCCTCTCTCAATCCACGATGAAGACGACCCCAAGTCGTGTCGGTCATGGCGGTATTTGACTATACTTCACCACGCTGGTCACTACGGGTTGGTGCAGGGTGAGGAGTGGCCAGGAATCGAACTCAGGAACCGGGTTCACAGAGCAGCACGCTAGCCACTGCGCCACCGCTCTGCAGAATGTCAGTAACGAGTAATGTCATTTACAATGAACACAAATATTGAGTTTAAACCCACGACGAGTGTAAAAGTAATACTCCCTGTGAAAAAGAGCTTCATAGCTCATCGGATTCCTCCTCGGGTCGAAATAAATATTCTGGGCTGGGCCGAACCATCGTGGGGGTGCGAGGTCTGGGGGGCGGCGGCATGGACACCGTGCAGGTAGGAGAGTTTTGTAGAACGCGTGCGAGACAAGTCAGCGCCGTGGGCACAAAGCACACGAATGCACAACGCGAGACGCATGCCTTGACTGGGGGGCGTGGGCATGTGATCTCTCTGTATCGCGGCCGGAGTCACCATGGGGTACAGGAGAGAGGGAGGGAGGGGGGCAGTGGGGGGTGGGGGCACACGGTGAGCAGTGGTTGTGTTTGGGGTGTGGGGTGGGGGGGTAACCAACACCCGGCACCACAAAAGGAACACGTGCTTTCACCCAAAAGAGTTCACGGTAGAGACCCGCCACCGCTGCTGCTGCTGCTGCTGTTGCTTCTGCTTCTTGCTGCTGTAATCTCGGTGCGGCATCGGGCTATGAAAATAAAGATTTGCGAGGCGTGCGACTTGGATTGTACGGGGGATGTTATGGATTAACCTTTCGTGAGTGCTCTCGGCGCAGGCACGAGCTGCCTGCTACAGGAGCGCGCTACTACAGCGACTTGCTGACTAAACTGTGAACTCGTTTTAATTTGACCGGGTAAGGTCCACTGAGCTATCTTCGCTCTGTTTCTTTTTCTTCCTCCCAGAAGCGACCTGGCCACGCGCGATAGCTCAAAGAAAAGTGGCTTCGAACGCGGAAATGTACGGCGGCCAAACACCATAAACGCGTGACGTTGATTCCAAACGTGGAGGGGGGAGAGAATCCTGAGAACGCGGAGAAAAAAATATGCACGCGACCATGGGGAGAGAGAGACACGCACACTTCAAATATACAGCAGCAGGCGTCAGGGTCGGGATCGAACCCACGACCATATGTACACCAGGCGAGGTAGTTAACATCTCCTCGCCACCGTGATGATGATGATGATGAGAGAGACACGCAAACTCCAAATATACAGCAGCAGCAGCAGGCGTCAGGGTCGGGATCGAACCCACGACCTCCTGTATACCAGGCGAGGTAGTTAACATCTCCTAGCCACCGCGGCGCCCTCCAGCACCGCACCCCCTTCTCGACGAAAATACATTCACCATAAAGCATTCCACGTGCTTCCGTGTAGGTTCCGTGTTACTCTAGCAAGCTGTAAATTATAATTGTCCACAGGTCTAGTGGCAAGGTAGAGTGACACATATATATATATATGTCCTGGTCTGTTTACACGCTTTTGCACGAATCATCCTGAATGGAATTAGATGTTTCTGTAATTGAACTTGACTGCGAATGTTTTTTTTTAAGTAATGCGTTGGAACTGGGAATATATTTGACGTAATGCAGCGTTTGTGCACTGTTTACAGTCGCTTCTATCTTGGCTTTCATATCTCCTTGGTCGTTCTAACTTCATCGCTTCCATTGGTTTCTCTGCCATGTTGGGCACCCACCTCCCTCTTGTGAATGAGACGAAATCCACGTGAAACTTAACTTAATCTTAAGGGTCATTCCACTCTATCATTCGTTAACGGCCATGCTCAATCTGGTCTGTGCAATTTCTCATGGTCCTGCGAAAAAACTATCCACCCGAGCACCTGCACATGAGCTGACTTCATCGCTGCATCTCTACGCGTGTTGTTGTTATCTCCGTTTAGTTTCTCATTCATTTCCTCATCGATTTGCCGAGTTCTGTTTATTGACCCCTGTTTATGGTGCATAATAAAAATTGTTTGACCCTGGATAGGATTTGGCCTCGTAACCTTATGACCGGCAGTCCTGCTCTCCAACCAGACAAGCGCTTAGCTTAGATAATTATCCATCTCCCTCATTGCAAGTCCTGAGCCAGTGGTGCTAATTCTACATTCCTGTGACAAGGATCAGTCCATCCACATAGTCGAGTTTAAATACGTAATAACAATAATAGCAATTATATTTGTTTTTTCTCCTCTGTTGCCCATGTTATGATCAATTGCATTCGTCTTAACGACTTTCGTTTCTGCCGAGTTAAGACGTGTTCCATACGAGGTTGAACTCGTGCGCAGACTCGGAAGATCCACGTGAATGCCCCTCATAGGCGGTGAATTGCCTCCCGGTGCCCCTGCCCGCATGATACTTTAGTCACGTGTGCCACGCGGACACGCGCACGGCTTTACGCGCGCAAGAGACACCTTTATGTCAACCCCACGTCCAAATAAACGCGCTCATAAATCAACAGCGCTGCAGCAGCAGCAGCAGCAGCAGCAGCTGAGGGTTGTATTTCAGAAGACGGATGAATGCGCACGTCCCCCAGAGCTGATGTGTGCGCGATGTATCCTGTGCGCCCGACGTTAGCTTACGAATTTGTGCGCTTTCCAGTTGCCACGTGGATGTAAATGTTGTTATCTTTCTCTCTCTCTCTCTGGCTGCGTTTAACGAGGTGAAAGGTCCTACCGGCCGCGTAGTCCAGCGGGGGAGCGAGCGACTCGATTAGGAAGGTTACGAGTTCAAATCCTGGTTCGGGCGTTTACTCGGCCAATCATCCCCTCTGGGATCAATTCAGCAAATGCTGCTTTGTGAGGAAGTCAAGTCCAGGGTGCTGCTGAGCGTTGCTAAACTATACAACAAAACATTTTATTTACGTATAAAACTTTAACACCACGGCAGCATCCACTGCGCACGTTTGTGTGGTGAAAAGTTTGAGACTTTCAGAGGCTGATTTAAAGCTTTCGTGACGGCAGGGATTCATATTCTTGGTTCTTTCGGTAAAGTCACGTAGAAGGGAAATAATAAAATAATATAAATATAAAACAATAAAAATTCTCACGACGTTTCGACTGCAACACAAGCAATCATCATCAGGTGTGAAATCCATAGCAAGAAAATTTGAAAAAATTACGTTATACAGACATCAAATTTTCTTGCTGTGGATTTCACACCTGATGATGGTTTCTTGTGTTGCAGTCGGAACGTCGTGAGAATTTTTTGTTGTTTAATATTTATATTATTTTATTATTTCCCTTCTACGTGACTTTACCGAAAGAACCAAGAATATACTTTCAGAGGTGTTTAAATATGCCCGAATCATAATCAAAAGTTTCTTATCCGAGTAAATTTCCCATCGGGCTACGCAACTCCCTTTCAAGGGCGACTCGGGCAGCAGACAGTTACGAATGTATGAATAAGCACGATGTCAAATATTAAAGATACAAATACGGCCATTATAACCAAATGATCTTAAAGTTTCACGAATGTAGTGTAAAAAAAGATATAAAAGAACGTGAAAAAGTTCCAGAGGCTCTTTGGCGTGCGGCCGGCTGACGTGTGGGTGAGCAGGCACGGGGCTGGTGGCACCTTTGCAGAAGCCACCTGGCCATGCCTGCTGCTCTACCCCGGAGCCCGTCGTGTTTGACTTGGACTTTGCTTCATGTTGTTTTTGGTGCAGGAGAGAGGGCGTAGAAAGGCGGGGAGAAGGGAAGGTTTGTGAGTGCGTGTGTCCTGTTCGGGGTGCGGTAGTGCAGCGTCGAGCGCACTTTGAGCGTTATGAACCCAGAGACCTCGGTTTGCTTGACGGTCACAGCCGGCATCGGTGACGGATATCTGAACGAGTCCCTAGGTCGACTAAGCCCTAAACGAGTAATCTGATACCTTGCGTACACATCCGTGATGTGGCGAAATATGTGGCCGAGTGTGTTGGAGGGGGGGGGCGGGGCACACCAATCACCCATGCGTCGCTACTGGCCTTCATAGGTGCTCGCTCAAAGCACTTGCCCCAAAAGCCTCTGTAGGCTCTATGGGGATCTTTGTCTTCTTGGTTCTTTCGGTAAAGTCACGTAGAATGGAAATAATAAAGTAATAAAAATGAAACATAATATATTATTATATTATATTATTATGTTTTATTTTTATTAATGTATTTTTTATTATTTTATTATTTCCATTCTAAGTGACTTTACCGAAAGAACCAAGAAGATGAATCCCTGCAGTCACGAAAGCTTTAAATCGGGGATCTTTGTGTTTGTCCTGTGACCTTCCCAGCAAGCCCTCTGACACGTCACGTGGCTTGAAGTGCGCATGGCCTGACACGAGAGCTGCGGTGATGTCACATATAAATGGTGAATCGTGACTGGCGTTGTGTCTAAGGAAGTGTGCGTGTGAAAATCATCAGTGTGTGTGCTGGGGTGCAAGTGTGAGAGTGAAAGCGAGCGTGTGATGGACTGTGCGAGAATTTGTGAAAGCCTTTGTTGATGTATTAGAGAGTGAGAGTGTGTGTGAGTGTGTGCGTTTGTGATCGAGTTATATGATGACGATGATGAAATTATGTCTACTTTAGAGAATGGCGACCCGGGTTCGATTCCCGCTCACGGTCAACACCCCTAGGTTGACTCAGCCTCAAATGAGTACCTGGTGCGGTGTGTAGTCAACATCGCCACTAGGGAGACAAAGGCGGCCGCGCGTGGTGCTGTCCACCCACTACCTCGAGTACCGTTCCCGCCTTCATAGGTGCTACTCGCTAAGAGCGCTTGTTCCAAAAGTCTGTTAAGTCTGTAGGGTAAAATATTTGTCTTTGTGTGTGAAACAAAGCATCGGCGGTAAGTGAGAATGAGAGAGCGTTTATGTAAGTGAGAGTGCGCGCGCGTGTGTGTGTGTGTGCTAGGGAGATAGAGATGGCAGTACAAATAAAGTGGGGAAACCGCTTGTATCTCAGGGGATGTGTGACTCGGGTCAGAGCCCAGCAGGTCGCATTCTCGACTGGAAAAATGCGCATACAGGACACGCGGGGGGGGGGGGGGGGACGAGGAATTAAAATTCGCATGACTACAATGAAGGGGTCACTGCAGCACAAATGTGTTTTTTTTAAGGAAACATTTTTACGACATTGCCAGTTCCCAGGATGTGAGCTCTGCTGCCTCGTTTCCACGACCACTAGGAACCTGGTCGGGCCGGCCCAGCACCGGCGAGTGAGCGAGAGAGTGAGTTAGCGAGAGAGTGAGTTAGAGAGTGAGTTAGAGAGAGAGTGAGTGAGTTAGAGAGAGAGTGAGTTAGAGAGTGAGTTAGAGAGAGTGAGTGAGTTGACGAGAGAGTGAGTTAGCGAGAGAGTGAGTTAGCGAGAGAGTGAGTTAGCGAGAGAGTGAGTTAGCGAGAGAGAGAGAGTTAGAGAGTGAGTTAGTGAGTGAGTGAGTTAGAGAGTGAGTGAGTTAGCGAGTGAGTGAGTGAGTGCGTTAGAGAGAGAGAGAGTGATTGAGTTAGCGAGTGAGTGAGTTAGCAAGATAGTTAGCGAGAGAGTGAGTTAGCGAGTGAGAGAGTTAGCGAGACAGTGAGTTAGAGAGAGAGAGTGATTGAGTTAGCGAGTGAGTGAGTTGACGAGAGAGTGAGTTAGAGAGAGGGTGAATGAGTTAGCGAGTGAGTGAGTGCTCACTCTGGCTGCAACACGTTGTACCAAATGGAACCGACCTAATTTAAAGTCGGGTAGGCCAGCAAACAAAGCGTGGTGGTAATCTAATAGAGAAATATCGAATACATGAACCAACATCTCGGATTCTTTATCCTGTAGAATATATACAGAGATATACAGCCTGATAGAATTGCAAATATGTTTTTCGTGTAGAATTTTAAATTCAGGTACCCACCCCCTCTATCCTAAAGGATTCCTTTAGGACTCCCATGGGATTATCTTTGGGATTTCTTATGGGGTCCTATAAAACGCGTCCAAGAAGCAAACCCCGCCTGTGTACGTATGTGCCATGTTTATTTGTTTGTGTGTCTGTGTGTGTCTGTGTGTGTCTGTGTGTGTGTGTTTGTCTGTGTGTGTTTGTGTGTGTCTGTGTGTGTGTGTCTGTGTGTGTGTCTGTGTGTGTGTCTGTGTGGATATTTATCTTTGTCTGTGTGTGTTTGTGTGTGTCTGTGTGTGTCTGTGTGTGTCTGTGTGTGTTTGTGTGTATCTGTGTGTGTGTGTCTGTGTGTGTCTGTGTGCGTTTGTGTGTGTCTGTGTGTGTTTGTGTGTGTCTGTGTGTGTTTGTGTGTGTGTCTGTGTGTGTCTGTGTGTGTGTGTGTGTTTGTGTGTGTGCGTCTGTATTTGTGTGTGTGTTTGTGTGTGTCTGTGTGTGTGGTGTGTTGGACAGTGCTGTTAGAGCAACTCTCCTCGCAATTGGAAGGTTGCGAGTTCAAAACCCGGTCGGAGGTCAACTCAGATCATCATCAGCATCATATCTTTAGAGTCGATAAAATGGGTACTACTTTACTCACGACAAGCAGCTTGGGCATGTTTTCAGACTCGTATCGACTGCAGCCA